AGCGCAAATTTCTTTTTGATATTCACGCTTTAAAATGGTAGATTTAGTTTGAAGGAAACTGGCGATTATCGCAATTGATGGGTGACGATGGTTATGATGGTTGCGATGGTTGCGATGGCTACGATGGCTACAATGGCTATGATGGTTACCATGATTACAATGGCTACAATGGCTACAATGGCTACAATGGTTACAATGGTTACAATGGTTACAATGGTTACAATGGCTACAATGGCTACAATGGCTACAATGGTTTCAATGGTTACAATGGTTACAATGGCTGTGTGAGAACAGGTCAGTAAACTTTTGTTCTTATTTACTTTATGTCTAGACTGTAAAACTAAGCGCAAATTCCTTTTAATATTCACGCTTTAAAATGGTAGATTTAGTTTGGAGGAAACTGGCGATGATCGCAAAATGAAAGATTTTCCTTGATGGGCTACAATGAAAATGGCTGTGTGAGAACAGGTCAGTGAAAAGTTCGCTTTCTAAAATATTAGAATAAACATTTATATAAATAACATTATAACAAATTAGGTTTGGGCACAATTGCATCTTTCATTTCATTATCTAAAAATGAGTCTTAAACTATTCCCTTAGCTAAAGTCTCTAAATCGCATTATCGAGCTACCATTTCTCACTACCCGACTTCATAGCCATCGTAGCCAACTGGATTAGGAGTCTGGACTGGAGTCTTATCTCCTAGTCATCGTAGCCGACTGGAGTCTTATCTCCTAGTCGGAGGGGCAAGGGTTCGACCCCAGCGGCTAGAAAAATTGGTCCTTTTTCCCAACATTATGGGTTTTTTCTTAACAACATTTTCGGTAATAGGGGTAAAAATTTTCTCCGTTTTGTTGTAATCCATTATTCGTGTCGAATAAATATACTTTATACCGTATTTTCTGTAATAGTAGTGCAGTCTATAATAGTAGTGCAGGCTGGAGGGGTGTTGAAAAAATAGTAGTGCGCACTACTATTACAGAAAATACGGTACTCCGAAAAAAATGTAGACATAAGACATTTAAAACCCGTTTTAATGTTATTATTGCAGAAAAATGAAAAATCTTTCTAATGAAACAAACCGTTAAATTGATGCATTTGTTGGTTTTAAACGAAAGTACGAAAAGGAACGGAAAGACTTTCGAGAGTGAGAATTAGAAATGAGTTAGAATTAGAAATTAGGATTAGAATGTGTTCCTTCTTAATGCACTTTAAAGCAGTAGCACTTTTTAGTTACTTACATGTGTTCCATTTCCATCTCAATCCCCTCCCTTTTGAGATCGATTTCTTTTCTATCGTTTCTTGCCATTTTCGTGCCAAAATTAATCTCAAAAAAAGGAATTTAAGATTGAAAAACCTATTAGTTTTTTGGTTTTGCTTTCCACCCAATGCGAAAACTTGTTTTAGACTTATAATTGTTCTAAAACTGGCTTTAACCTAAATATTTCTTTTCCTTAAACTAGCCATATTGATTTGTTTAAATATTATAAACTAGATATTATAAACTAGATATTATATAAACTAGATATTATATAAACTAGATATTATATAAACTAGATATTATAAACTAGATATTTATATATGTCGTAGCCGATTATGAATGAAATTTTTTGGTAAATCTTTCTAGTAGAGCAACCCTTTAATGTATGAGGACAATATTATATCATCTTGTAGCGAATTGAATTCAGCGTCGATTGGTACCAAATTTGTGAGTTTAGGTTAAAAATTGCCGGCGCTACAACGTTTCATTCAAAATCGGCGGGACCCCCGTAGCCGATTATGAATTTCAGCCGATTATGAATGAGTGGGTCTAGGAGTGTCCAACCATCAAGTATTTAGTATCATTCAACGCAGAATCATTGAAAATTATGTTAAATTTTTAAAATTAGCAAGATTTGATGAAAAGAAAAAACAATTAGAGCAAAAAAAACTGTTTGTTGAAGAGAAAACTTTGAGGCCCCATAATTTTTTTTCTTTTTATCCAATCTTTCTAATTTTAAAAATTTAACATAATTATCAATGATTCTGCGTTGAATGATACTAAATACTTGATGGTTGGACACTCCTAGACCCACTCATTCATAATCGGCTGAAATTCATAATCGGCTACGACATATACAACAATATCTCTACAGTGCTCAACTTTTTATCAGTGTTAAGCTTTTGAATCGTTGAAAATCGTTGCAGTTAATCCCCCTTAAATCTTTTTAATGCTACCAAGCTTTTGAAATTGGAATATCAAAATACAATCGTTTTTACACAATCAGTTCAATTTTAAGCTCATTTGTTAAGAAAGAAATATGATACCCTAAAGTCGCGAGTATAAGTTCTGTTTGGTTTTCGCATGCAAATTGACGGCTGTCTCCGGTGCGGGGGGTCGAGGGTTCGAACCCCGCTGCAGCATAACTTTTTTGCTTTTTAAGAACAGTAATAGAAGTAAATTTATTGAGGGTTATAGCAATTTTATGCTGTTATTTGCTGCTCCGGGCGTGGCTCGGCGCGTCCGCCCTGCTCCTCTCCAGTGCTCAGTCTTATGGATCCCTCCCTGGCCTCTTCATCCTTCCCTGGCCTCTTCATCCGTCCCTGGCCTCTTCATACGGTCAAAGTCCACGTCGACGGTCGAAAGAGATGCTTTCCAGCGTCTTCTTCAATCGTCTGGATGTATCCATGCACATAACAAATAACAATGGTGATAGGCTGTCACCCTGTAGTATCCCGCGCTCCAAGAACAATAATAAAAGTTTATATAACAATAAAAATGTATAAAAACCCAACAAAAAGAAATTCAAAGCAATTAAAGCGAATGTAAATTAAGGCAGAACTTATACTCGGATGAACTTATACTCGAGACTTTAGGGTAAGTTAATGTACGCTACTGTATCTACAAAATTGAAACCGTTTAGAGATATTATATACTAAATATTATATATAAAAATATCTCTACCGACTTTGAACCGACTTTTGAGGATCGCTGCAGTTAGTCCCCGCTATTCGTTGATCATTCACTACATCGGCAGGCTACTTGATTGAGATCTAAAGATATAAAGATTTAAAGTTTTGAAAAAGCTAAAAAATCAACGCAAAAAGTTAAATTTAAAGTTAAACTATTCAAAAGGTTAGATAGCTTTTTAGTTTTTCTTTTTGGATTGATTCCAAAAGCATCTTGCGGCGAAAGTTGAGGGTTTTATTAAGCAATTTTTTCGAAAATTCTTTAAAAATCAGAAATCTATAAAGAAAATTATCTTGTAGATAATATTCTCCAAAAAAAACTCTCTTAAAAGACAAATAGAGTTCACCGTTGAACCGTTTTTACGAACACGGTCAAGTTTCGTGTTAGAAATTTTGTCGAACTTTTTTAAAAAGGCAGATAATTTATTAAGTGACCGTAAAAAAAAGAGTATATATATGCTTTATTCAGTTGAATAGCGACAAAACAAAATCACAATAATTACCCGGGACACCACTCAAAACACACCCAAAAGATAAATAGATACCTCAAGAAAGAATCACAGAGCAGTCAAATCAATTGCCGAAATTGCGGCTTTAAATCTAGCCAAGGTGGGAATATCACGAACATGTGGGGGTAAAATGTTCCAGGATTTAATAACTCGGTCAAAAAAGAAACTGTGGGAGCTTTTAGAGGAAACGGAAGGTTGGCGTAGGAGAAAAGGCCCTCTTCTGGGGGCGCCCCGTAGAGAGCCGAATTCAAAGAGAGCAGAAAAGCACCTTGACACCGCTGTCGGTAATAGCTAAAATTGAAATAGTAACCTTTTAACATTTTGGTATGGTAGATGGTAAATGTGTTGAAAATAGAGAGCCAAAGTGAAACATATCGGCCAAGAAACAAAGTGAAATTTAAAAAAAATCACATCATGGAAATATAAGAAACAAAGGGAAATATAAGAAATTTAAAATATACATTAAAAGCTTTTACTAAAAAGACATCTAGAAAACTACTGTAATCAAAATGAATCATAAGATAATATAATAATATAATGGATTACAGTAGTTTTCTAATGCTTTTTAAAAAGCACACATACAGTACTGGACAATGAAATATGATATTTGAAAAAAGATCGTCACTTTCGCGCGTCTATAACTCCCTTGTCTTTACCGTATTTCTAAATATTAATATTACCATTGTGTAGCCCTTGAAAAGAGCTTTCAGAAAATGTATAACACTAATAGTTTAAAACGCAAAGACAAGGGAGTTACAGACGCGCGAAAGTGACGATCGTTTTTCAAATATCATATTTCATTGTCCAGTACTGTACCAGTGAACTTTTTACGGTACTTTTACGAGTTTCTTTTACAATTTTGAAGTAAATTTGTTAACAATTTCTAAACAATTTTACATTTCCTAGAATCCTGAAAAAGTACCGATCAATCACAGCATTTAAAAACAAGAAATGAGAAGCGAATTTTTTTTGACGGACAATTGTCATATCCGTTTATCCGTTTTACAAGCCTCATTCGTAGCACTGAATTCTTTACCCCATTCGTACCACTGGATTCTTTACCCCATTCGTAGCACTGGATTCTTTACCCCATTCGTAGCACTGGATTCTTTACCCCATTCGTAGCACTGGATTCTTTACCCCATTCGTAGCACTGGATTCTTTACCCCATTCGTAGCACTGGATTCTTTACCCCATTCGTACCACTGGATTCTTTACCCCATTCGTACCACTGGATTCTTTACCCCATTCGTACCACTGGATTCTTTACCCCATTCGTACCACTGGATTCTTTACCCCATTCGTACCAATGGATTCTTTACCTCATTTGTACCACTGAATTCTTTACCTCATTTGTACCACTGGATTCTTTACCTCATTTGTACCACTAGATTCTTTACCCGATTCAACTCCAGTTACTTTAGAAGATTTTATAGATCTTAGATAATTTGAACTTTTAAAATTTGTCTTTGATTCTAGAATTCGTATCGATCGTATCGATTCGTATCGATTTACTAATCCTCGAATCCCTTTCTTCATTCATCTCCTCTCATTCCAATATCTTCCATTTTGACTCTGGTGATCTCCGTCTCTGAAAACTCGCAGCAGATCGTCGTTCTTTGGAAAGCGTTCTAAGAGGAGATTGATTTGATTACAAGGATCGAGCTTGGGATCAGATTTTACTTTAAGGTTAACTGAACCCTGACATGTTACTATGATATTAGTACTTGCCTAGCTTACTACTAGAGACTAGACATTCCAAGCAAGGGAAAATTTCAAGCCGAACCTAATTTCACCTTTATTTTCTTGGTCGATTGCTTGGAAAGTTTGTCTACAGATAGAAGACGAGATTTTCAAAACACTAGGCAAAAATGCAGAGTGCAGAGTCTAAGAAACGGTTAAAGGTGGAGTTAAGTTTGAATTTTGGAATCTTCGTTGGAATTTTCCCATGTCTACTAGAGTCTAGGTTAGAGGGCTATGACCGAGCCATGTCAAAGCCATGACCGAGCCATGTCAAACTGGCTTTTCGGTTTGTCAAACTGGCAAAACTCACTCGATTTTCAGTACAGCAAAGTTGAATAAGTAAAGAAAAAAATTTCTTTGCTACTTGTCCGTTGTTTGTTGACACTTATAGATTAGAATGTGATTTTAAAGCGCTAACCTGTGAGTGGTATGAAGATTGGAACGGGAGCTGGATTCGGATTCGCACGCTCATTGATCCGATCATCGCCAAGGAAAACGGGTAAGCTAAAGAACTCTTTGATCACTTTTTAAGCATTCATTTGTATTTAAACACTTTTTTTGCCTAAAGATCGTGAATGCAGCTTTGCTTAGCCCCAGATCTTATTGATGTTTTTCCTCCGGGATGTTCCAGCCTGCAAACTAATGGGCAGCCAAGGCCAGGTATTCAATCATTAATAGAGTATCAAATAAAAATTAGGTTTTAAACTTATTTGTAAATAAATTTTCTTAAACAAATGATCCCCTTTCATAAGAGATATCTTAAAAAAAATGATCTCCTTTCAAATGTACCCACTCACCTCGGGTTGTTCTCGAATGGATTTCGATCCATGGTGAGGAGAATCTTGTGATCGACCCGTATCCCAAAAAGCAACTAAATTTGATCGTTTTTCTAAGAAGAAACTTTGAAAAACAATAATATTTTAAAATGATGAGCCAAAAAAGGACTGGATATTTTAAATGAACGTATTGGAGCGTATCCTTGCGACATTTTAAGTGATGATTCATTGATGAAAATGATATAAGACTGGAATAGAATGAGAAAAGATATCTAATTTGACGAAAAAAATAGCATATTTGACTCGTTGAGTGACTCGTGACTTATTTGTGTGTGTTGAAGCTAGAAGAAAGGGACTTATCGGGGAGTACGGTAACTTCTCTCACCACCAAGGGTTCAGCTAAAGTCTTTCAAGACACCTAGAATTTCTTATAATAATTCTGTTTGTTTACCGAAACTCTAAGAATACTGTAAAAGTTATTTGATTGTTTATAACAAATGAAACAAAAAAGTGAGTGATTTTTAGACGTCTAGTCAACTTCGACTAGACGACTATTTTGTGGACTTAATTGATATGTAAAGGAATGCACATATTATTTAAATTAGTGCCAAATAGACGTGCCTTTAATCCATACTACTTATATTGGGTTGGGGAGAATGAGTCGGCGCCCAACTTTAAAGGGACTTTTTGCACACATAAAGCCTTCTTTAAACATACGTTTGGTTTCATCAAAAGGATCCACTATTTCTCTACAAAATGACTTTTGAGAGATTCCACAAAGCTTTTCTTTCGTGGAGTTTATGAACTTCCAAACGCAGCTGGTTAAAATGGCAAAGAGTCCGACTCATCATTTGAACAGTTTCTTTCACATAAACCTTCTTTGGTGTTTATATAAAAAAGATAGAGCACATTCAATTACTTAAGTTGCCAAATTTGCAGGAAGATCCCACCAATGGTTTTTTCTAGATCACAGTTTGTAGTTTTTGTGAAAAAATGGCTTTTTCTTGAGCGGAGGCGCTGTTTGAATTTTCTTTTAAATGTCATTTTGTAGAGAATTAGTTAACCATTCTACTCATATCAAACGCATATTATTTGACGAAGTCGAATAGAAGTTTTAGACATTTTTTTGATTTTCGGCGCCGACTCATTCTCCCCAACCCAATAGTTAGTGTTAAATTGAACAGTCAGGGCTACCAGAAGACTTGAATCAATAGCGGTTGAGCAGTTCCTCTTGTTCTCAAGAGCTGAGTTCTCAAGTGCTGAGTTCTCAACATTAGCCTGTATAAAGGAATAAAGTAATGCAAAATGATTGAGAAATTCAAAAGTGAATCAGGAATTGGAATACGGTTCGAGATCAGTTTGATTTTAGGGAAAAAAATTGGGGGAAGGGGATCACTAACTAGAGTGTGCTCCTTGTTGACAGACAATTTGTCAGACAAATTTTCATTGACAACTTTTTTGTCAGACAATTGATCCGACAAACTTCCGACAATGCGTTTTCTAAAAGGTGCGCTTTTTAAGCAAAGCTATAAAGGTCGCGCGAAAAAAATTTGCAAACTTTTCTTAAAATATAGTAATGGATAGTTTTATTTAAGGATTTAGGTTTTTTAGGGCGTGGAATTTTTTTTTGGAATGGTTCTAGTGCAAATGTAGACAATAGGCCTGGTAAATTCGTAAATAATATAATTTTTTAATAGTGTTTCTTAACTTTTCCCGTTTTAAATGTTTTCTTTAATTTTAAATAGCATTTAAAAATTTTTAAGTTTTAGCGAAAGAGTAATAGAGCTAAGGAAAGAGTAATAGAGCTAAGGAAAGAGTAATAGAGCTAAGGAAAGAGTAATAGAGCTAAGGAAAGAGTAATAGAGCTAAGGAAAGAGTAATAGAGCTAAGGAAAGAGTAATAGAGCTAAGGAAAGAGTAATAGAGCTAAGGAAAGAGTAATAGAAAAAAAGAGCGCAAGATTTTAATGTACATTTGCATTTTGAAAAATTTGCTGATGCAAAGCATAGGGTTACGGTAGCTTATCCTTGGCGCGCGCTTTTTAGAAAACGCGTTGGCTGCAAGGAACACACTCTATCACTAACCAAGGCCCTCCCCATTTCTCGTCGGATCCGATAAGAAAAGGATCGACGCTTTGACGGTAATTTATCATATTAAAGTGGGAATTTTTAAATTTAAAGTGGGAGGGATAAATTCAATTATAGTAAACACAAATATTTGAATTGAAATAACTGATGTATTGGGGGAAATTGGGGGAAAAAGCTATGTTGCAATAAAGTCAAAAAATCCGATTCAATGTAATATAAAACTTTTGAAATATTCTTTACTATTAATAAACTTCTCACTAATAGACTAAATTTCGCATTTGCAAGGTGGGGAAAGTCCAAATAGCAATGATATGCAAGAAAGATTGTAAAGCTAAAGCTGAAAGTCCAAATTAACAATGATATGCAAGAAAGATTATAAAGCTTTGATGTAAGAAATTCGATTAAATCAACAAAATGAGGAGAATTGGAAAATTGTTCACGCAAATTTTATGAGAAAAGATGTTTTAAACAGGGAAAAGAGTATGAACACTGCCTTTTTTGCGGTTTTTTTTGCGAAAAGAGCTGATATTGCTCTTTTCGCAAAAACCCCAAAATTAGTCTAAGGAATCGAGGCTCAAAATGAAATTTAGCCTAAATTTAGCTAGTTTTTGGGTAGTCTTGAGTAGAACCCATGGAAAACTTGCTTAGTTAGTTTTAGCTAGAGCTAGATAAGCTAAAACTTTGTCTAAGCTTGATATTTTAAGTTTTGGTTGAACTTTGACTTTAACTTTGAAACTTTGATGTTAACTTTGAAACTTTGACGTTAACTTTGAAAATTTGACTTTCAAATTCTAAATCTAGTTAGATTAAAGTGTACTTTTTAACTTTTATCCTTTAAATTTTATTTCTTTTTTATGAAAACTAGGTTTTTTTTGAGAAATATTGAGAGAAATTGTCCGTCAAGATGGTCACTTTTCTAGACTTGAGTATTGTTGTGCGGTATGGTGTGACTGAGGCCCGTTGTACTATACTATAAACAAGTATTCAAGGTACTTTTTGTGGCAAATACAATGCGTTTCAAATTCTTAAACGCACCCTCTAAAATGGCGAAACTGACTATGATTCTTGTAGGTAGCTTGGACAAGTGCTCGGCATAAATTCCCTATCGGATTGACGTCGGGAGATCGAGCCGGTCAGTCCAAAGTTGCACTGTTGTTGTTGTTGTTGTTGTTCAGCCAGTCTCGGGTGTCTCCGGCTCGATGAATTGACGCATTGTCGTATTGAAACACATCGGGAACGGTTGGATTTAGGAGCAAAAATGGCAAAAAGCAATTGTTCAAGATATCTATATAGTCATCCGATTCGAAACCATCTTTAGAGCGACCGTTCCATCAGCACAAAAGGCGGCCCAAACCATCACAGAACCGCCGTCAAAGTTTTGAGTTCCAAACACCATCGGATCACGTCGAAGATCCCTCCAATAGTAGTCAACGCCATTGGGACCATCCCAATTCCATTTCTTCTCATCGGAAAAGATCACCTAAACGCAAAAAAAATAATAAAACATAAGCGGCTTTCTAACCATAGACCAATCCTGATTCATATGAGCCTTGGCGAACGCCAATCGGACTTTCTTGTGCAAAAGCTTCACGGCCGGTTGCATGTTCAATCATTGTCGATCGATATGTGGGGTTTCCTTTATGCCTCGCCAAATTGTCGACTTCGAAGCGTCGATTTTCCGTTCCGTTTTCACTTCATTGATCGTTTTTCCGTGGATGTTGTTCACAATATGGCGTCTAGCTCGCGGTGTAAGCTTTGGTTTTGGTCCTGGCTTCTTCTTTGGTGCAGAAATGAACTTCGACTTTATGTAATTTCGCACGGCAGAGTCGGATCGGCCCAAATTTTTTGCGATTTCCCTTATTGAGTCGCCAATCCTGAAACGGGCATCAATCTGGCCTTTCTCATAATCCGCGAGCAGCTTTCCGTGTGCCATTTACCTGGAAATTAACAAAAATATAAATTTATATAAATTTAATAATAAAATATGCACAACAAAACGAAAACTTTCAAATAAAAACAGCAAAGGCAAGCAAATAAAAACAATTTAAGAATCTGAAACGGTTGATTTACCAAAAGGTTTTTATTTTGAAAATTTTTACTTTTTTACAGTATGCTTATTTTTTGTGTTTTTTAGGTTTTAAGACATGCTCTTTCTAATAGAAAAAGAATAATAGTTTTAGCGGTGTTCAAAATGCAAATGTCAAAGAGCCTCAAGGAAAAAGCAACAAATCGCTTCTATTGTCATGGGATTGAAGCATTAGAGGTGGCTTGATGGGATTGATAGACATGGAGCGGTATAACAGAAACGAGGACCTTCATGTGCTTGTTTCTTGGGCTATAATCAGAAAGTATCACTCTAATAGAAAAAGATTAATAGTTTTAGCGGTGTTCAAAATGCAAAATTTTTCACTATTTTAGAGGGTGCGTTTAAGAATTTGAAACGCATTGTATTTGCCACAAAAAGTACCTTGAATACTTGTTGATAGTATAGTACAACGAGCCTCAGCCACACCGTACCGCACAACAATACTCAAGTCTAGAAAAGTGACCATCGCTCAGTGGTTGACGGACAATTTCTCTCAATATTACAACTTCATTCAACCAGAATGAAAAAGGAAATTTCAAGTCAAAGAGCCTCAAGGAAAAAGCAACAAATCGCTTCTATTGTTATGGGATTGAAGCATTAGAGGTGGCTTGATGGGATTGATAGACTTGAAGCGGTATAACAGAAATGAGGACCTTCATGTGCTTGTTTCTTCGGCTATAATCAGAAAGTATCATTTAGTCTTGTGCTTGTCAAATGTTGCAAATAAAATGATTCGTAAAGATTTTGTGAGAATTTATAACCCGTCAAGATTTGTCAAACTTGATTCCAAGAATCTCTTTCCCGGAAGGGGAAAAGGTCAAAAATCATAAAATGTTTTTAATTTTCCGCTCGCTAAAGAGCTATCCATTGCTGAAAAATTT